GTTGGAATGGCAAGCATTTTGCTACATATATTCATACAATTTTTCAAATGTACTGCTAACCCCAAAATAAAAATAGTTCTTTGGTAAGGGATGATGTTTGTAGGCTACCATGGTGATTTTAAAAAAGAAGAGGAAGACGAGGCCTACTGCAAACCTACAAATGGAGGTGCTGGCAGAAGTGTTGTAGGCGGAGAGGCAAATCTAGAATATATACCCATCCCTGATGACAGATCACTACTCCTTCCTTGAGCAAAGGAGCCAAGTGTAGCCAGCCTACCACTTGTTGGCTGGCTAGTCTCTCTGGAGAGCAGTGCTGCCTACGGGCTCAGCCTTGGCCCTCAGTTAGGGGGCTGAGTGCTCACCACTGATGGAGGCCACAGCAGCCAGGGGGAGAGGAAGTCCATTTATGAAGGCCCTGTGTAACCTCTGTCCTTTCAGCCACATGACCATGGACCACCTGATCCAGCCCCTCCACTCTGGGGATAACAGCCGGCTGATGAGTCATCTTGTCCACCTATTATTAGAAGTGTGGTAGTGAATCTCTCTAGTGGGTCTTTGCACAAGACACTAATGTCACTGTGTGACAGTAACACACAGTGTAAGAGCATCAGTGGTGGCCATTTATAGTCTGATTAGAGTGACTGAACTGACATCAAGAATAATATGGAGGCTGGTGGGGTTTTCTCTCTTTTGTCTTGAAGATACACATTCCTTCATCTAAGCTAAGGACAAGAACAATGGACATCGGAGAAATCCACTCACACATCTCTCTCCCAGGCCACTCTTCCAATGCTTTTTTTTTTTTCCAAATCCCCAGCCATCAGCCACTGTCCAGAGTTAGGGCAGCCCTAAACCTCAGTCCATCTCTGCTTCCACACAAAGGGGACAATGAAATATCCTCCCTAAAATCCTGCCCAGAGAGGCTTTCCCTTCACCACCCTGAGGGGCCGGAAGCAGCTGCATGCTTCCGAAGGGGCCAGCAGAGCTTGGAGGCGCCTTCTGCCTTCTGACTGTGAGCGCGTCTCCGCAGATCCCTAAGGGTGGCTGCAGGAAGAAGCAGAAAACAAAGCAAGTACAAGTCCGCGCTGCCTGTGCGTCTTCTTCCTCACGCCTTCCAAGGCTCCGATGGCCTGGCGTCACGCGTGGGGTGCGGCTGACACTGAATGCCCTGCGCATTCAGCTTTATGGACTTGCTGTCGACAGCACCCTTAGTTTGCATGGTCACGGGCTGAACTACGGTCTGGCTTTCAAACCGGGACCCAGAGGCAGTTCAGGAGGCTCCTTTCAAAGGGAACATCTTGTCCACAGAGTGGCAGCACCTTGCCCCACCACGGAGGGCCTGTCTGTGATCCTCCTGTTGGGCAGAACCTTCCACAGCATCCCGGTCTCCGCAGGCAACCTGAGGTTCGCTGCGTCTGTGGGCACGGCCCCGAGCAGTGGGGCAGCTTTCTCCGGCGCTCGCACCTGATGCTTGGCCCTTTCTTGCTCTGGGCCCCGTTCGCAGTTCTAGCTCGTGAGTGTTCGGCCACCTGAACCTGGCCTACGTTGCCCCAAACTGCCCGTAGGCACCGTGCCTCTTTTTCATACTGCAATGAAGCACAGCCCAGTCCACTGGCCCCTAGACAGTCCACCCACACGGCGGGATCCTGAGGGGCACAGGACTTCCCAGCCCCTGGCAAGCATGTGTCCTATAAGGCATTCAGGGTGACTGCTAGTTCTTGTGACCAGATCCAGTTACTATCATGCGATCAGTTTCAAGGCTCGCTTGGACATGCTGTGCGATGTCAAGATTCTCTTATGACAGAGCAGGGAAGTGGACGTGGCCCCAGGATGTGACAGTGAAGGTTCTGCAGTCACACACCAGTCAAAAGGGAGCCTGTTTTTTATTGTTTTTAATTTTTATTGTGATTTGGGTGAAAGTTTACAGAGCAAATTCCCTTTCCATACAGCAGTTCACATACGTTGTCTCATGACTGCAATTGCCCACGATACAACAGGCCCCCTCCCACTTCCTCCCGATAGTTAGTTACCTCTTCCCTGTGTCCTTCCCTCCATGGAGTCCTGCCCCCTGAGCTGTCTCCCTGTGCATACACAGCCCTTCTTTCTCCCATGATTGCTCTCTCCAAGGAGTTTATCTACCTCAGGTAAATAAATGTTCAGTTCATATGCCTGTCTTTTGTTTGGCTGGAAGCCACAGGAGTGGGTTCTATTCCAGACCTGAAGGGCAGCTAGGGGCCATAGTCTCAGTGGTTCCACCAGGCTCTATCAGACCAGCAAACCTGGTCCCTTTTTTTTTTTTATGATTTGGAGTTTTGTTCCACGTTGTTCTCCCTCTCTATCCAGGATCTCCTACACAGATCCTCCTCCGAGTGGTAGACAGTGGCAGCCGGGCACCATCTAGTTCTTCTGGCCTCATAGTCGTACAGGCTGGGGACCGCATGGTGGCCAGTCCCTTGGACCAGTTGTTTCCATGCATCTTTGGTTTCCTCATTTTTCTTTGCTCTGGACAAAGAGAGACCCACTGTTGCATCTGGATGGCCACTTGCGAGCTTTTAAGATCCCAGTCGCTACTCACCAAAGTAGGATGTGGAACAATGTTTTCGTGCAGTATGGTATGCCAGTTGAGCTTGATGGCCCCTGTGACCATGGCCCCGAGCCCACAGGTCCAACTACTTGGGGAGCCTGGTTTTGATTGTCTTCAGTTGGTTGGCAGAGAAAAGAGAGCGTGTGCTAGAATATTGTTGTTGTTGTTGCTATGTGCCATCGAGCCGGCCCCAACTCATAGCAACCCCTCCTTGTGTTTCCGAGGTGGGTATCACTACGGAAGTAGATTGCGCAACCTTCCTTCTGAGGAGTGGCTGGTGGGTTTGAACTGCCAGCCTTCTGGTTAGCAGTCAAGTGCCTTAGGCATTACACTACCAGAGCTAGAATACTAGCAGATGGGAACTGGGGAGGGGGGGCGCAAGCAGAGATTAACCACAGGCAGAAGGATGGATGGATCAGTGGACAGATTAATGGACAGATATGTGAACGAAAGGATGGAACTACGGTCAACTCTGTGAAGGTCAGAACCTGTGTAAGGCCGAAACCTGTCGGAGAAGAAAAACTAAAGATCTTCCACTCAACGAGCAATAGAAAAGGGTTAAGACCGCACCGTCAAAGGCACCAAACTTGCGAGACCAGGAAAACACGGTCACACAGCGGCACCGTGCGAGCCCTAACGGAGGCCCGCTCTCTGCGCGGCTGCCTCTATTCTGTGCCATGGTCACCGGGCAGGTGGCAGGCAGGCCGTGGGAAGAGCGGCCAACAGCCAACCGTGGAGCAGAGTCCCCGCTACAAACCATGACCCAGCTCTCAGGAGCTGTGTGACCGCAGGCGCTGAGCCTCACTTGTCCCCTGTGTAAAACAGAGACGATAACTGAGAATAATTTAAAAAAACAAAAAACGACGTCATAGCTTTTTCGGGAAAGTTGAGCAAGATCACAGTGCTAACGTCCTTGACAGAGTGCCTAGCACCAGCAGCAGTCCGGACACCGGGACTGCTGGTGTTATCGCTATTAAGGGATATGAAGATAAATCAGAAACGTAGGGAGGAAGGTACCACCAGACGAGGTCCAGCACGTGCCGGGGTGCCGGGCGGGTGCCCACAGACTCACTTCTCTCTTGAGACCTTTCCTGGCCCAGCTCTAGACTTTCTCATCTGGGTGGGACTCACTTGTCCCCTCCCCCATCTATTGGTTCCTTGAAACTTGGGGAATTGTTGGGATGTGAGTGAGCTGGCCAGCTCCTCTCCTTAGAAATCCCCTCTCGGTTCCCAGGATCAGGAGGGGAAGGGGAGAGGGCTGCTCCAGGCCAGCCTTTCTCAGCTGCTCTTCTGACCCGGCTCTAGGAAATGGGGGTGGGGTGGGGCCAGCGCTCCCTGCCCCAGGATGGTGGGGCCCAGGCTGCTGGGATGCTGCTGGTAGGCATGCTGGGCCTCCTCCCAAGACGCCTTCCCTCTCAGCTGGGCTTGCACCAGATGGTCCCCACATGCTGGGTGGACAGGCACTGTGATGACCCGGGGAGGCTACCCCAAGCTTCGTGGTGGCTCTCGGGGTACTAGGGAGCCTTCTTCACTACCATCCCCACCAGGGGACTTAAAAAAAAAACAAAAACACTTCCAACTTAGGGTGACCCCACTGGGTTGCCAAGGCTGTAAATCTTTACAGAAATAGATTGCCTCATCTTCCTCCCATGAAGCAGCTGGTGGGTTTGAACCGCAGACCTTGTAGTTAGCAACCAAATGCCTCACCCACTACACCACAGAGTCCCCAGGGTGTTAAAGCCACACCAGGGGTCTTAGAATCACAGCAAAGAGAGGTGGGATAAGGGTCAAGGCAAGATAAGGGGCCCAATTCCTTACTCGGGCCCCCACCCTGGTCATCATCTCTGAGGCCTAGGCCTAGGCTTAATGATGCAAATGTTGTTGTTGTTGTTATTTGCCATCCAGTCCACCAGACTCATAGCGACCCCTCCTTGGGTTTCCCAGGCAGTATCACTACGGAAGTAGGATTGCCCAACCTTCCTTCCGAGGAGTGGCTGGTGGGTTTGAAATGGTACCTAGGAAAAGCTACTGCAGGCCCTCCCTCCAGAGGTGACAGTGCCAGACCCCTTGCCAGGGCCAGAGGGCCGGCTGCTAAGCTTCTCAGCTGAGGCCAAGGAAAGCAAAGAGGGGAAAGCTCCCGTCTGTCGGGGAGGGAGACGGGGTCAGGTTCCGCCAGAGAGAGGGGGGTAGGGGGGAATCCACAGAACGGGGAGAGGAGGGGAATTTCTGAGCAGAGAAAAGTGAAAGCTGGTACCATAAATAATGGGTGGACTCAGCCTCACCCAGGCTTCCAAAAGTTCCCAGACCCCTCAGCTCCTCCAAGGGCTCCCTCGTGCACCCCAGCCAAGCCGCAGTCTCACGCAGGCCGTGCCAGCCAGCGACCCGCTCCCACACGCACTCGCTCTGCCCGCGCTCCATGGCACCCCGCACGGCCCCACTGCTGGCCCTCAGCCTGCTAGTTCTCTGGACCCCCCCTGGTAAGGCCGACGGGAGGGCTAGGGTGGGGGGCTTGGGGCCAGTGCAGGCATCTCAGCCTGCTTGGCGGTGCGTGTGAGGGTCACTGCAAGGCCGGGACCACAGGTTCTGGGGAACCTGGGGGCCCCTTTGCCCTGTGCCCGTGCCGTGTGGGGTACCTGGGCCCCAAAATTCTACTGTGTCTCTGTCTCTCAGAGTCTCCCTGGGTCTGTGGCCGCCCCTGTCCGCAAGCAGGCAGAGGGGAGAGCGGTGGATAATGGCTGCGGGTGGGGAGAGCAGAGACACTAAGCAGAGGTGACAGTCAAAATGTCTGTACAGCGCCCCCTCCCTAGTCTCTGCAGGGGCCTGGAGGTGTCTGGCTGCGCCCGGCCTTAACTCCGCCTCTCCTTCTCTCGGTGGGAGCAGGAGGCTCCTCCGCCCGCACCTCCCCTGCGCTGCGCTCCCGCGCCCGCTCGGGCCCCCGCTCCTCCGCCCGCACCTCCCCTGCGCCCCTGCGCCCGCTCCTGCGCCCGCTCCTGCGCCAGGGCCGCGAGCTGGGCGCCTCCCCTCCCGCCCGTCCCGCGCGCCGCCGCCGCCCGCACAAGCTCCGCCCCACCGGCACGCCCGCGCATTAACCCTTTATTTGCTGGCTGGTGTGGCGTTGGGAGGTCCTAGGCCAGGGTGATCAGAGCAGCAGGACAGTGGTTAGTGAACCGGTTCGGACCTATCTCAATATATTTAGCAGCCAGGAGGGCAGCTTGGTGCAGACGGGCTGGTCTCAGGTTAGCTGCCCCCCCAGGTGTCCCGCATCCAAGTTGGGGTTGTGGACTTTCTTCTGCGTCCCTGTGTCCTGACACCACCTTTGCCCCCACCCCTGCCCTCCAGCTCTGGGCGGTGCCAACGACGCGGAAGACTGCTGCCTGTCTGTGACCCAGCGCCCCATCCCTGCCATGATCGTGCGAGCCTTTCGCTACCTGCTCCTGGCAGACGGCTGCAGGGTGCCGGCGGTGGTGTGAGTTGGAGGTGTCAGCCCCTGGTGGTGCCACTACGTCCTTAGCCCTCTTCTCTTTGTCAAGCCCAAATCCTTCAAGGAAGCCCTTGAAACACGTTCCCAGACACGGTCCCCAGCCTCTGCCCCTCACACCAGGGCCTTCAGGAAGCTGGGTTCCGGGGCTCCATTCTCCCTGACCTCTAATTCCAGGTTCACCACGCTGAGGGGTCACCAGCTCTGTGCACCCCCAGACCAGCCCTGGGTGGACCGCATCATCCGGAGACTGCAGAAGCTCTCTGCCAAGGCAAGTGGGACCTCCCGCCTTCCCAGCCCTGCCCCCTCCTCTGGGTCCACGGTCCCGGCCGTGACCCTGCCTCTCCTCCCTCTCCCAGAGCAAGAGCCACCGCAGTTAGTCCAGCTCAGCCTGAGGGAGCCCCGCGTCTGAGTGGAGGGACCGGAATCGCCGCGCTCCTGGGGGCCAAGGACCACCAGGGAGGACCAGGCCGGACCAGCCCTGAGCCAGCTGGAGGCCTGGATTGTCAGCGTGGGAGTGAGCCAGGGGGTGGGCGTGGCTGGAGCTCCGGGCTTTGCTCTGACTGTAAAGCTTCTAATAAAACCCAGCTGGCGCCAGCATCTGTCTGTCCGCTGTCTTTGTGTCTGTCCAGGAGGGCAGGTATGGGAAAGGGAAGCACGAAGGACAGATCTCTTCCACCCTGTAGCCCGAACCACGTCCTGACAGACCTCCTCCCCCCAACACCCCAATGTTCTCAGCATCAGCCCCCACTGTCAAGGCCCTGTCCCATGCCTCTCAGGGCCCTACCACCCTCCAGGGCGCCACAACCCTGAACTCGTGTCAGTTCCCTGAAAGGGCCAAGTCCCAGGATGAGCAAGTCAGTGTTTTCTCTCCAGAGCAGGTGTGCAGGCATCCAGGTGTGTCAGGGATCAGGTGTCACTGGTGGCAAGAACTGATTCCCATGGCTGGGCAGAGGGCCCAGGTCTGCCACCTGAGTAGAAAGCACTCACCCACCCATGCCATTGCGTCAATCTGGGGCATAGTTCTCTGTCTTTTCCCCCCTGACTTCCCACCCCAGCTGGATGCCCCCCAGGAAGTCTCCCCAGACCCAGGCTGGGTTAGGCAGCCTCCCACGGCCTCCTGTCCCTTCCCCCCTCGTGGGGTTCATCACACCCACTCACTCAGTAACTGCTGTCAAGTGGATTCCGACTCATAGCAACCCCTTCTTGGGTTTCTGAGGTGGTATCTCTACCGAAGCAGATTGCCCAGTCTTCCTTCCGAGGAGTGGCTGGTGGGTTTGACCAGCCAGCCTTCTGGTTAGCAGTTAAGTGCCTTAGGCAAACATCGCATTGAGCTACAATTTTGTCTGTCTGTCTTTCTGGAGGTTCATGGCTACCTTAGTCTCTGCTGTCTCCCTGGTGCCCAGCGTACTGCCTGGCACACGGCAGTCACTCACCAGATACTTCTTAACAAGTCAGTAAATAAGCAATGACAGGCTTGGTGGTGGTGGGTGAGGACCCGTCTGTCCGTACAGAAGCTGACCTTCGGGCCAGCCCTCTTCTCTTCCTCCATCAACCTGAGCAAGGTCCAGCCCCGGCTGGGCAATCCTGGGGGTACCCTGAGAGCAGAGACATTGACTGACAGAACTAGGAGCCAGAGACAGAGATATAAGAGTGTCCACAGGGAGGAAAAAAGAGTAGCCAGAGAGATCGGGGGTTCACCATGGAGGAGCCCCACCCCCACCGCCGCAGCCACATGGGCTGTAGGGCCCAGAGGCAACCCTGAGACCAGGACAGTCATGGGGAAGCAGCCTCAGCTCTGGACAAGGACAGCCCTGTGACATCTGGAGCATCCCACAGGCTTGCTCTGTGAGGAGTGACTTCCTTGTGCTGGGGAGGTCCCCTGGAGAATTGGATGGCCTCCAGGCTGTGGCCTCTAAGGGCCTGTCCAGCCAGGAGAGGCTAGTCTGTGCCACTGGGGTCAGACGGAAGCTAGGAGGCCAGACTAAGCATCCTGCCTGGAAGAGGGGTAATCATGGTACTACATGTGGCCCAGCTGACAACAAAACCAAGCCTGAGCGGGCCCTGCATGGGGAGCATGGTCACCTCTTCCTCTCCTCCGCTCCCGAAAGAGGTGCTCAGAGCCCCAGGTACCCCTGTTCTCAGACTCACAGGGGAACGAGGAGGATGGGGCTAGAACTCAGGAAAAGAGCTAGAAAGTTGGGCTCCCTCTGGAAGCGCTCACCGAAGCCTTCTTGCATCCATCCGTCTGAGTGATCCCATATTCATTCATTCCCCTCCCTCCCTCTCCGTCCATGCAGCCAGCCAGACACTGAGTCCCTGAGGCCCCAGGTATGAAGCTCCCGTACCCTGCACCACAATAGGCAGAGCCAGCAGGAGGGGGGCCCACTGCCTCAAGTCCTTTTTAGTGAGACCAAGAAGTCAGCGTGCCACCGAAGCAAATGAAAATTCTCCCTCTGGACCCTAAAGGGAAGACACAGGGCGGGGTAGCAGAGGGTGGGAGCCCTGAGGAAGGTGCTACCAGGACAGAAGTCACCACCCCCTGCCTCCTTACCACTGCCTCTGGAAGCTGCCAGAAGTCCTAAGCTCAATGCCTGGGCTGAGTCTCACGGTCCTGTCCTTCCCCCCTCACCGTGTGAGTTTGGGCTTCCCCACTCCCCAACCCAGCGCCTCAGTCTCTCCATTTGTAATGTGGGGGTGGGCTTGGCTTTTAAGGGTTCCTCCAAAGCCTTAGGAGCTCTGGTGACGTAATGCCTAAGGCACTTGACTGCTAACCAGAAGGCTGGCAGTTCAAACCCCCCAGCCACTGCTCGGAAGGAAGACTGCTTCTGTAGAGATACTGCCTCAGAAACCCAAGGAGGGGTCACTATGAGTCGGGACCGACTCGACGGCAGTGAGTTTGGCTTTTTTGGTTCTAAAGTCTTGGCTCCTGAATCTGTGGGTCTCAGGCTAAACCTCCAGCATTCACACAGGCTCCCCAAAAGTCAGGTACATTCAGAAAGTTCCTTACTTCCTGGGGCTCCTGGGGCCACTTTCTGGGAACAAAGAGGAAACTGAGGCTTGGGGAAAGGAAAAAATCTAGGAGTGAGTGAAGTGCCTTGGATTGATAGCCTCCTGCTTGAGCCTGGAGGCTTAGGAGAGAAGAGTTTGGAGGCAGATGGAGGGGTGGGCACCAGAGTCCCACAGGGAACAGGTGTGCAGCCCTCCTCATCCCTCCTCCAGTCAGTACCAGCCCTTCCAGCTTTCTCTCTTCCTCTTTTTCCACCCACAGCTCCTATCCCACAGCCCTGAGCCTTCCCGACCTGGGCACTGGTTCCTATCCTGAGGCTTGTCCCATCCGAGCCAGTCATTCCCAGGGCTGCAACTCCACCTTATCTCCATCTGTGGGCTGCACTATGATTTGCTGACAAGGGTTGCATCTCTGTTTATCCTAGGCTCTGGCAGCCTAGGAGCCCACACGCCAACCGCAGACAACGATGAGGCCACCAGCTCTCTGAGGAGCAGTGTGGACTGCCGGCTCCCTGGCCAGAATACAGAGGCCTTGCTGTCTGTCTCTAGGGGACTCCTTCCTGTCTGTGGAATGGGACACCTGCTACAGGCTTAAGGCCTGCAACTGAGTGGCACTGCCCTACCCGGAAGGCCCGTGGTCTCAGCAGCTGCCAATGTCCCAATATCCCCCTCAGGGGACCTGGCATTGCTTGTCAGAGAGCCCCTAGCCTTGTCCATCTCTGTGGTAGACAAGAACTCCCCGTCCTGTCTATTGAGAGAGCCCCCAGGGTAGGGCGTTGGGCATTGTCTGTTACCATGGGCAGGACTGCTCTGCACAGAACTAACAGCAATCCCCGCTGGATGAGCAAAACATGGACTGAACCACAGCCCTTTCCCAGTGTGCCCTCCCCCTCACGCCTGGACCACGTCCCGTTCCCAGCACATGGTGGGGCTGTCTGGGATCACTGGCTGTAGCGTGGGTAAGACTGCAGTTAGAGCCAGGCCCATACGGTTTTGATCATCTAATGTTTGACTTCTCGGTAAGCCCCAACCCTCTGCTACCCCCTTCGTCTGGCTTCTGGAAAACTCAGAAAGAGCAGGAAGGTCCCGAGAATCACAGTCTCACGGAGCGGCAGGACGCCCCAGTGGGGAGCTTCCTCCTAGAGCCCCTCTGTGGAAGCAAGCCAGCACCTCCCCAGTGGAAGGAGCTCTGGTGGTGCAGTGGCTAAGGCATTCGGCTTGGTCCAAACCCATCAGCTGCTCTGCGGAAGAAGGACAGGGCAGTCTGCTTCTGTAAAGAGTTACAGCCTTGGAAGCCCACAGAGATCTCCATGAATCAGGATCGACTCAAAGGGATCAAAGTTCTCCAGTCAGAGAACTTCCGCAGTGGCCCTTGAGCCGGTCCGCAGGGAAGGCCGTGGCTCTGTGGTACCAGCGAATTCACCGCTAGCGGTTGCCGTGTGCTGGGCCTTGCCCTCGGCGCCACTGCCGTGGCTAGGTTGCAGATGAGGAAACTGGTACAGTGGGTAAGTCACTCCCCAAGGCCGGACAGCTGGTGCGGGGGCAGAGCTGGGCATCCCGCCGGGCAGTTTGCCTCGAGTCTATGCTCTTAACTACCACGCACACCACCTTTGTGAGTTGACCCATCTCCTAAGATGCAGCAGGACCAGGCCTGCAAACATGGCCCTCAGGGAACTGGAAGAACTGTGACTTTGAGGTGCTGACCGTGTTGTAGGAAAACAAGGTCCTTAGCCCGTTGGGAAGAGCCAGTGATCACAGCAGGTTGAAGGGGGAAAGCAGAAGGTTGATTGAGTATCGAGACCCAAGGAGGCAGAGAGAACCGTTTCTCCCAAATGCCTGTCTCCCCGAGCGAAGGGGTGAACGTGACTCTGTAGGGAAATGGGAAGGGGTTGAAGATCCCTGGACGGCCAGGAATGCCTTTGTTCTTCTCTTCCCTGGGGACTCCAGACTCAGCGTCCCTCTCCCCGGGGTCGTCTTGCTTCACAGGTTACGGTTCTCAGCTGAACCCAGTCATGGGAGAGGCATATGCTTAGAAGAACATATAGTTGAAAATAACAAATCTAAAGAACTCACAGTCCGTAAAGAGGTTGGCTCTTCTATTTACTTAAAAGAAAGCAAAAGGGAGGGAAAACAGCCACTAGGTCAGTCGCTAGGATGGATGCCTACTTAAATCGCGCCTCCTAGTCTGTCAAAGTTCTGTACTTTTCAGTGAGGGCCCCTTCGGCCTTCCACATCAGCCCTCCACAGCCCCCGTTTCCGAGGTTTCACAGTCAGGGGAAACGGGGCAGTGACCTCCTCGGACTACTTCCTGCTGTACTGGAGCGAGGAGTGGTCAGGTCCTCGAAGGGCCAAGCTGACAGAAACCCCAACATCTCGGTGCACAAGTTCACGAGTATCAGGTGTCTCGAAGAGAGAAGACACATGAGGAGCCTCAGGGGTCTCGGACAGTCCGTGGGAGGCTACTTTCCTCCAGCCCGGGACACAAACACATCTGACTGTTACTACAAGGCCTAAAGTCCCTGAGAGCTCAGGTTGGGGGATACAATTTCAAACAAGCTCCGTCTACTTCCTTGGTCCCAGGCCCTTGGTTTTGCTCATTCAGTAACTTTATGGATAGCACTCAATTCAACCTCCCCAAAAGTATTTATCCAAGCACAACATGCCTTATTTATAATAGCATATACCCCACCATACCTGGCAAAAAGAAAATCCAAGGCTATGGGGTTATTTAAAACCACCTTAGCTAAGGAATTCAGAAGGGCCTGTCAGGCTCGAGTGGCCTTCCCCGTGCCCATGGCCAGGAGGTGGATGGTGTCTGACAAATTTTGAATAAAAAGTTCCATATGCC